TTTCTGTGCCCAGCATTGGTCTGATTTTTTTCTCGCTTGCTCCAGTCTTTTATACCCCACTAAATTGCCCTTGGTGATATCTGTCTCATGACACTCTTTACCTACGTCAATGTGCCCTCTATCCTGGTACTGTATACAAGCACTTCATTCAGATAATGTTATCACTTTTTCAAGACTGACTCTATACCAGTCTCTAATACCAGCTCTTAGTGGGGAGGAAGGGTGAGAGAGTGTGATAGAAGGTAAATATTATTGGAAATACATTTTCAATTTAAGAAAATGTTAACTTCCAATACATACATACTTCCACTCCCAATTAAAGCTAGAATCCAACATTGAGAAGGTGAGGGGTTGGTGATTGCATTATCCATACAGAAAGCACCTGCATAGATCATGGGTGTCTCTAATTTCATTAGCTCGTACTTGTGGGTCCAGACCCTCAACATCAGCCGCTCGGTACATTGGTATCCAAAATAGATTCTGTCTGTATCCAATGGTTCTGCTGCTCAGTCAGATCACCAGTGGCATCAATTATTATTGTATGCCTTCAGCTCAGCTCGGAAAATTTTTGGATGTGTGGTAACCTTAACCATGGATCCAGAAGCACTGCAGGTTCTCTTGGTAGTGAGTGAGTCATGCTAGTTCTTCTGAAGTTTTATTCCTGTCGATTGTTGGACCTATGCAGACAGGAGATTGGGGTCCAGTCATCGATCTTTCTCATCTATATCCATGCCTAGATTCTCTAAGGTTCACAAGTTACTCATTCATTGACATTTTTTTTACTGGGGTTATTGATGTCCACATTTGCTGTAGTTGGCTCCTATCTACACATTGCCATAGTTGTGGAGTCCCACCACTATCTGTGTTTGTTGTGCACAAGGGTCAGGTACTGCTGTTCCAGGTTTTTATCTTCAGACTCACTTCGGCTTCACAAGGGTTCTGTCATATTGTACAGATTTTCTCATCACTTCCATTCCATTGCACTGTACACACACCATTCCATGAATGACTGCTTTCTGCTGGCACTATCTCGTCAATTGTCAGAACATCACATCTTGATTTTACTTTCAGAAACGACCAAGGCAGGCTTTTTTTTTCAGGGTTGAGGCATCTGTCTTTGCTCCAATTCCATATCTCATCAGTCTGGGTATTTTTTTATCTTGTCTCTCAGTTGGACTCAGTTGACTCCCATTCAGCTCAATGCTATGGAATAAGATGTCATAATTTTACTCACCTCTCCTTCTCCCACGGCAAGGATGGTTCTCTCTCTTCTAGGAATATGGAGATCACTCAAATCCCTTATGCCTTTGAGATGAGAGCTCAAGAGATTATTTTAATGGTCTTTATGGGAACAAGTGATCATAAACATCAATTCACTGATTTCCTTAGTTGGGATCATTTTTCAATCTTGAGGAGTTGTTAAGTCAGGACGCTACTACAATATGGGTTCCTCTACCTCCAACAGTTAGGAATTCCAGGGTGTATACATGGAGAAAAAGACTTCTCTACACAATGTTTTAGTCCTTCTTGCTCTTCAACAGGCAATGACTTCCTCATGGTCTGGGCTTATTAAGGGGAAAGTCATCAGGCTTCACTCTGCCAATTCTATAGTGGTCCAGGGCTCCTTGTTTTCAATTTCTGGACCTCCTTTCTCAGGACCATTCCTTTCTTATCACCCAACCAGCTTGCCATATTCCACAGATGATGCCTGTGGTAGCAGGTCAGTTGTATCAATCCTCACTGATTCTTCCAACAGGATAGATGCTGCATCGCAAGGTTCTGTTGGATTGACTCTGATTGGTGGGTTATACTCTCATTGTATCACCCAACTACTGGCAATTTGGTCTCCAGTACCTCACCTTCGGGCTTTGGCAATGGATGCATTCCATCAAGACAGGATTACAACTGTAGGCCTTCTCTCCTCTTCATATGTTATGCAGGGTACTAAATATGATTTGTTCCAACTCATTGTCATATCCTGTTGATAGCATCAGATTGGCTGCTACACCCTGGTTTTTGCTTCTGCAGTACCTTCTGGAGTATCAACCTCTTCCGCTTTTTCAGGTATCTCTGTGGAGGCAGCCATGATCTGCCTTGGTACACCCAGCTATCCAGAAGCTCAAGTTTCAGGAATGGAGATTGCAGTCTTTCACATAGCATTGGGGTTTAATTTCTAAGGTTGCAATGTATCCATCTCAGTTTTTGCTTACTACGAGATGAACATTTATCAATGGAAATGACATGCATATCGGCAATGGTGTATTGAGAGGAAGTTGAGCCCATTTCAGGCAGAAGTGCTAACCATAACTCATTTTTTTGACCTGGCTGTTTAGCAGAGGTTTTTGCATCATCCGCAGTTGCTCTGTTTAAGGCAGCCTTATCGACTACCATTCGATTATCACAACTACATAATTTTTTTTAGTTTCCAGTAGTTTCTGGTTTACTCAAGTAGCTTTGGGTCCTTGGTCCCAAATGACAATTCCAGTTACCTAACAGGTATATTAAGATTACAGTACAGGCTCTTTCTCAACACCTGTTTGTGCCCTGATTCTTATACACCATGTATCCCCTTTACCTGAAAGTTTATTTTTTGTGGTTGCTGACCTGCAGACATCACCATTTGGAGTGATTTGCTTCATTTGTTCACAGACTGCTTTCACATTCTCTCTATATCATCAGACTAGTTCTTTTTACCCAAGACACTGTTAGACAGGAAGTGTTTTTAACGTCCTTTTCAACTATTCATCTGATCACTATTTCTCACTTCTATGTCCAATCAAGTTTCGATCATAGTCATGTTCAGTGAGGGCTTGAAGGTTTTGTTGTCTGGTCTAATGCCTTTAGAGATGCTAGACAATGAATTATCTTCTGGGATCTCTTTGAAGGTGAGAATTCTTCTGTGCGTCACATCTAATCAGATTTGTCACATTTCTATGTCCTTAGCAACCTGGTCAAATTGCCTGCTGGAGGTCATTGTGCGGACTGGTATGTGGACCTCCCGCAATACTTTTATCTCGCATTATTTGCCTGATTTGATGCTCTGCTATATGTTTGAGGTGTGCATGGCCCTTCTGTTTGATGAATATAGATTCAGTACATTGTTCATGGAAGAGGGTCCATTATCTCCTTATAATTCTGAATGTGGAACATTCCCATTCTGGGTCCTTGGTTGAGCACAGTTGTTCCATGTTCCAAGTAGAATGTACCTTGCCTACACAGTTGGGGAGTGAGGATGAGTGTTCATAATTCCAGACCGGATGAGTTCTGTTTTCTTTGGTTGAGCCTGGGCTGTTGCCTTTCGAGCTTCTTCAGAAGGAGGAGAATTTGTCCACTTTGGTGTTGCTTACTTTCTCGTTGTGATTCCAGTGACTTGGAACGTATCACTCTATGGCTACAGGTTGGGATCCACTCATAAGTATAAGTAGATATAACAATGTTGTCCAATTGTCCTAGACCCTAATGTGGGATATAGGGACCAAGACCCATTAATTCCAACCCTGAGTAGTGGAACCTCGGCTATCTGGTTGAGGATGGCCTATAGTGATGATCACTCACATACAATTCCACCCATGATACAGTAATTAAGTTCAGGGCAAAGAGCATACCTGTTCTGAATGTAGTGTAGTTCCCCCACTAGGTTGCCAATCTTCTATTGACACACCCATGATCTATGCAGATGCTTTCTGTATGGATAATGCCCTCACCAGTCCCTCACCTTCTCAATGTGGAATTCTTTGCTCTAAGTGGGAGTGGATGTATGTATGTATTGGAAGTTAACATTTTCCTAAATTGATAATTTCCAATAATACTTAACTCCTATCACACTCTCCCACCCTTTCTCCCCACTAAGAGCCAATGTTAGAGACTGGTTTAGAGTCAGTCCTACAAAAATGATAACATTATCTGAATGAGGTGCTTATGTACAGTACCAGGATAGAGAGAGCATTGACGTAAATGGAGAGTGTCATGAGACAAATAACACCAAAGACAATTAAGTGGGAACTTATCATGGTGGTTGGGATATATATCTGAATGATGAAATGAATTCTGGCATTTGGACCCAGAAAAAGAGTTCACTCCACATTGATGTGCTCTAATTTCTCACTGTTCCTATGGCATGATCCCATTTTTTACCTCTTCTTATAGATCACTTGGTCATTACAATTCTATTCCAGGACTCTTTGCTTTCAGGCATTGGACCACCTCTTCTGGGCTCATTCACATCGAATCTGTAATGTGCCAGGAGCTATGAACCTAGTTGCAGGCTGCCTTTCTGTTGGGCCTCTTCCTACCCACAGAGTGGTTTCTCCTCACCTAAATCTTTTGTTGGGTTTGCTATCAGTTAAGCATGCCACTCATAGACACTGTTACCACCCCTCTCAACTCCAAACTTCTTTTCTTTTGATCCCCTGTACCTCATCCTTTGGCTCTGTCTGATGATGCTCTCAGCCTGATCTGTTCTCACCTTTTTCTGTTT